GTGATTACATATATCAATTGATACGTTATTCTCGTGCATGTTCACGCTATACGGACTTCATATACAGGAGTGTGCTCCTTACGCAGAAACTACTCCAACAGTGTTATGAGGAGGAAAGATTGAAAATGACACTCCGTAAAAACTATCTAACGACATTTTTACCACGACTTAGATTGTGGTTTACCATTATGTCGTCTGGTCTGCTAAGTACAGAGACCTATTCCCAAATATGACTGTTTTGCCGAGTGTGAATTCGCATTGCTATACGACGTGTCTCGGTATTTATACATCCAACATTCATGTATTTAGTTATGATGTTTCTTTCGTAGGTTCATTTCGTTATTGTGTTATGTATTATCGTTTGTGGTTTGGGTTCTGTATTTTCGGTGCATTTCACATGTGTCTTGTTTGTCGGTATGGTCGAATTACTCGTCGTTCGTCTATATGTTGTTTTTTTTTTCAAGTGTGTTTGCTGTTTGGTCATGTTTATATGAAAGTTAAGATGATAAATCAGCTATTTCATTTGTATGGTTTTGGGTTTAGAACGACTATATGCACAGGACTGTTTTTATTTGTGCATGGTTTTGGTTTGGAAGGGGGCCGACACGGTTAGAAAATACAAATAATAACACTATTATAAACACAGTTCAATGTTAATGTTCCTGTCATGTTTGAAAAATACATGAAATAGCACCGTTGCAGGCTCGGTCCCAATTCTATATTCTTGTACGTGTCTATAACAAAACAAATCTATTTTATTTTTGGAAATTTCCTGTGATGATATAGGCGTCACAAAAAAGACGTCACTTTTTGTGGCGTTGATGCATTCGTGTGACGCGCAGTTTATTCTTCGTTTGTGGTGTGCTGGTGTGCTGTCGTGAATTCATGGGAGGTGTCCGTTGTTGTTCTGCGGTTTGCATGTTGTAATGTACTATAATGTTGTTTTTGAGTGTATTTCTCTGTTCTTGGTCCTATTTGTTTGTGCTGTGTTCCTGTCGCGTGGTGTTGTCGTTTTTGCGGTATTTTTGGCATTGCATGTGGGCGGGAGGTTAGGCTGACCATGAGGTCAGGTCAATCCACCATTATTTTCTTAAAATGTCCTGTACCAAGTTAGGAATATTGCAGTTTTATCAAATAGTCCGTTTCTAAGTATGTTGGCGTTTGGTTTTGTTGCACTTCAGTGTTTCTGTTGTTCCGTTGTTTTTCTCTTATAGTTGATGTGTTTCCCTCGGTTTAAGTTTGTAACCCGGAGTTTTTCGCTAAATCGATTTATGACTGTAGAACGGCGGTGGGCTGCTGTTGCCTGTATTTACAGCAGTTTTTTTTTACACCGTTTACTTCAATTCTAAAGTCATGGTGACTTTGTAATGTTTCTACCATTTTAAGTAGTGGTACTCTAGATTTGACTGTGAAAAGGACACGACAAACGACAATCTATTTCGCCTGATAAAATTCAACCTGCATCAACTACGTCTTTTTTAAACAAAATTATAGTATGATGTTAAACTGTATCATGTGTCGCTGTTGTCGTCGTAATCTCATCGTAAATATTTGTTTTGTTTTTTCGTTAAAAACTCGAGTTCACGCTCACATGCGCTACAATACCTGGTAACTAAGTCGAATATCATCTGTTAAAGACAAAAGTGAGAACTTAAAGCTACTTCATTTAAACGTGAAATAAAAACACAGGGAATACAAGTAGATTTTTTCTAAACATCGAACATGTACTAGGAACGATCAACATCAAGTTGAATAACTTATGTAAAAGACAAAAGGCACAAAAAAAAATGAACAATCGTCCTTCAAAAAAGGTAAGTTATACCAGAACTAAAATAATAATGAATTTCGATTGACTGATATGTAAGTGTTTGTACGAGGAAGTTGATAAAAAAGATACGGAAATAAAGCATTTTAGTTTTTCATCAGACTGAAAGAAACTCTTATTGTATTCAATACATCAAAACAAATTATTTGACTAAAACCCAGCTTATGGTAAATATGGACAGTTTACTGCGGTTTCATTAATACAAGGATTTTTACTGTTGGTAAAATGGATATAGATATGTTAGAAAAAAATATTTTGGTGAAAGTAGTATACTGATATCAGTTCAAATATACTAACTTCAAATATAAACAAAAAAACATGAAAGTGACTACAGACAAACCTGAGAGTGACATCGATCACATGAACTCCAAAAACATGAAACCATGCGCATTGGTAAGATACATTAAGGCAACAGTGTTCAATTCTAGTAAATTGATTAGGATGAAATAAATCAAGGTAACAAACAAAAACTGAGTGAATCGCATAAACTCAAAAAGGAGCAAGACCGGATTCGTCGACATAGTAAGTGTCTTCTTCTATGCATGTATCACCCGCCCTCCGAACTAACACTCAGTCAAAATGTTATAATCGGGAAAAGGACACAATAGGTAAAGTTACAGAATAGACGACCTTACTAGCATCTAAAGTTACAGAATAGACGACTTTACTAACATCTAAAGTTACAGAATAGACGACTTTACTAGCATCTAAAGTTACAGAATAGACGACTTTACTAGCATCTAAAGTTACAGAATAGACGACTTTACTAGCATCTAAAGTTACAGAATAGACGACTTTACTAGCATCTAAGGTTCTATGGTTAGCATCCCCTGCTGTTTGACTTACATTCTAGATTTGCCTAAGCAATTAGTTCGTGCATTTCAGGTCCATAACGGAGTGATTTAAGGACAAAAGAGGATGAGGTAAAACAATAGAATTCTATGTTATAATCATTGGTAATATTTGTCTTCTTTACAACTATATTATGGAATAACACCACATTTACGTGAAATAGTATACACCTTTAATAAATTATTTTAAATGGAGTCTAGAAGGAAAATCGTTAGATTCTCAAAGCGGTATAAATTCCATATCTTAACAACAACAAAAAATGATATTGTGTAGTTGTATTAATTGGGTTAATACATGCATAAAACATGAAACTGAATTTACTTTCCAATGGTATGATTGTGAAATTGCTAACCATACCAGCTGAGTCATGGGAACACATGCGAATCTTTTTAAGGCGTCATCAAAAGGAATTTTAGTTAATTTTGGAGTTCAAAAGGGTGCGCCTTCTTATTTGGATTTCACTGAATCATTGAATTTAAAAGACTTTTGTGTTTGCATCCTAACGCATTACATCTTGTTTAAATTGTTCTTCCTTATTAATGCGATAGGAATATTTTTGATTTAGGAATAAGATACGAAAACACAACCGGCTATAGCAGATGGTACATTTTTACATATATATTGATGCTCTAGAAATTTAAAGCATCTCATTTTTTGTAGATTATATGTTAGAATCATTTTTTCTAATCTATATCCTGCATCAAATCTGTGTCCCGTGGTGACGTCATGATATTTTAAAAAATCTGTGGACCTTTTTCCAGGCTTAAATTTATGTTTTTTTCTTTAAATCTATGTCCCGGGACATCATGAAACTTTAACTTGTGGCCCATTTTTTTTTATTCAAATCCGTGTCTTTTCGAATGCGGCGGTGTTAAAGCGCTTCGCCCTCTACTAGCCTAGAACCGTTGTGTAACAACACAGTATATATATAACTGTAAAAATCAGTTGGAAAGGACTTGTCTCATCAGATGAGCACAAAGCACAAACATCAAAGAAACAAAAAGACAAAATGACAAAAGACACGATATAAGAGCATAATATCTATTTTTAAGGCTTACATATATGGTATAGAAAATGCTATTGTTCAATAGAATAAGAATAGGATAATGACCGAAAATCAATAAAATATCTAAAAGTGAAACTTCTTTTCTTTGTATACTATCCTTAATTTTAGGTTCACTATTATGCATTACTCACTCAGATGGAAATTTTGAGTAATTGGACATAATCAATTCTTTGAAATTGAAGATGCTGCTTTGAGCTTTCTTTTTTTATTAAAGTATTTCGGTAATAGTTGCTTCAACTAAATAAAAGTCAGCTATCAAGAACTATGATTAGTATCCACATCACATCAAAGTATTTTGGATACCCTCTTTAACTGGAGTAATATAGTTTCAAAATCTTGGAAAGTGGTTAATTGGAAAATCAAAAACATTCTACTATGCAATAGTTTGCATGGATTATTTTGTTACCCTAAACTAGAGATGCAATTTCGAGAAGATAATCAACATTCCCTTAGCATGAACTAATAACCTTTCTAGCGCATATGAGTTCATCTTCAATCTTTTGTAGAGCTTGTGTTGCTCAATCTTTAGTTTTCTGTGTTAAGGTTTTATTATTTTTCTAATTTTTATAATTGGTTCGGGGCTTCATAAGCTGGAACAATAACATATCTATTTTGCAAGGTGTGCAGAGCATATGCACTATCCAAATGATTTAAATATCAGAACTATAGAACCTTGTAACTTACGTATTCGGCTTTGTTTGAATAACTAAACAAACTTGACCAATTTTCTGTTTTGTTTCATTTGAATTACGTTTTTCACATAGCAATCACCATCAGTATTAAAGTCTTTTTGCAGATATTGGGCTTAGCTGTCCGATTATTTGATCCTTTGCTGAACAATTCACTGTTGACAGTACCAAAGTTATAAAGGACACCATGTCTCAAAGACCTCTTTTTAATTGGCCAATGAACTTTTAAAAGTTTGTGTAACATGTTAAAAGAAGGTGGTTATATTTATTAAACAAATAATAATTATATAATTATGTTATATTAATTCCATCTAAAAAATATTTGAACACGTTCAGTCACAGTAAAAAGAATGACAAAATCTAAGGCGGACATAAAAGTTAGGTGGGTGTATAGGAAAAAAGAATGATAAGAATTATTTTAACCCAATTAATTATTTACCATTTAAAAATGCGTGTACATTTCATCTGGTATTCAATGTGTTCATAAATGATAAGTTTTTACAACTTCAAATATTAGAAAGAAAGGTACAATCAATCACAGCCTTAATTATTGGCCATAAAGCAATAATCACAACACATCATTTACTCTACTCTTCATCGAGATGTTAACAGGAAAACGCTTTAAAACACTTTGAATAAAATCCAAATACTTTAATCTCACGAACCATATTTGAGAAATATCACGTGACATTGATGCTGCATTACTTATTTGTCCGTTAAGTCACGTGATTGGAGTAATTCATTAAGAACATTAAGTATGGCTTGGTTATCCTTCATGCTATTTGTCTTGCACTTAGCGTTGTAAGAGCATGCACCTGAAATGATAAAATATTATAAACATTCATAGTGATAAATACGATATGATTTCCACTGGTCAACATTCCAGTTTCCGGCAACATAATATTCATATATTTCACTAATGAATGTAATAGTATCAAAATAATATTCAGCATTTTCTCAAAACAATGCTTTTGAGTTAATTTTGAATTCCAAAACGTTTCTTTGCAAAATTGAAAAGATTATTACGTTATTTTGATAAAGATTGAAAATAAGACATAGAGGTACCGCCCATGCTAGCTAGAATTCACCGTATACCTTGCTTTGGGAGTATTCTCGGCATTTAAAAGGAATTACTATTTTTACCGTTGATCATTTACCATTGATTACCTTTTGTTAAAACGACATAAATGATGTCATAGTTTTAGTATAAGTTGAGTCAAACATAAAGTACACAATACGACCGTTGCAGTGCAATACAGTTGAAATCTGATATCAATAAATGATAATAGCAATAACATATTTGATATTTAGTGTTATGGTTGTTCTTCATTGATAGAAGCCCGTTTAGGACGATACACTCCAGGAACGGACATTAAAGTATTTCACAGACGATAAAGTTCAGTAGTTACACTCTGCATGGTCTGAATTGTGTTAAACATAAAATATGTAAATGCTGTCATAAATCTGAAAAACTACGACAAATTGCAGCTGACATGTTATCTTCTAGCTTGAAGATGCTATCATCAAGCAAAACCTTACCAAGCCTACCATCGTATATTTGGTCTTTTGTAATAAATTTAATTTATCGTGTTTTTTAAAAGTAAATAAGGGAGAACAATACTATCAATTGAATTGATTAAACTTTGGGGTTTCATTGTTAATCATTGTGTAAAAAATTAAATTGTTGACCTGTAAGTTATTCCGTTATGATTCAATCAGCAGACTGCAAGTTGTATAAAGCAGTAAGATAGTAAGAATCGGATTTTGAGAATGAAGATATTTTTGGGTTGATAAATTGTAACTTCATTGTTTATTGCAACTTGTTGAAAAAAAAACGTTTCGGACACCCGAAATTAGATAAGTGTTATTTTCATTTTGTAAATTAGTAATATAACATAATGTAAATTAAAGAGGCGAAGGATACCAAAGGGACATTCAAACTCATAAATCGATTACAAACTGACAACGCTATGACCAAAAAAGAAAAAGACTAACAGACAAACAGACAAACGACAGTACACAAAACAACATAAAAAACAAAAGACTGAGCAACACAAACCCCACCAAAACTGGGGGTGATCTCAGGTTCTCCGGAAGGGTAAGCAGATCCTGCTCCACATGTGGCATCCGTCATGTTGCTCGTGTAAGTACAAACCCGATGATATGTCTAATTCAGTAGGTCACATTCGGGGGAAAGGGGACGAGATTGTAGTTACGACAATTGGAACATATCCGTCGTCATCTGTGAAACAGATATTCCATAACGGTCAACCAACTCGTGATGGCGGCTGTAAAATTTACGAAGAGATGATTTCAACTTCCCCACTTGGAACTCTTGGTTTAATAGCTTCCTTGTGAGCAGCAACCCCCTATCAAGGAAATCACGATAGGAAACACAAGCCCTGGAATATCGTATCAACTTGGAGATATATACTCCGTATGCAGGCGCTGCTGGAATGTTGCTACATAGAAATTGAAAGTTCACAATAAGGCAGCTGAAATCATTTCTTTTGTCGTAAAGTTTTGTTTGTCAACCGACCCCCATTGTCAATTTCTAGATGTAAGTAATATACTCTTATTTATTTTCTTTTATTGAATCTTTTCCTTAAAACTTAATATCAATACGCCGAGTTCATTATTCATGAAGACAGTCACCAAGTGTCATAAATAATAACCTTTTTAAATACAGGTTTTTAATTGTATACGTTTCTATTATCACTTTTCAAAGCTTAATATGACAATTCAATGTTTAATAATTTTGCAATTTATTTCAGAAGTAAAACAGTCGTTGCTTTGCTTAATGTTGTTTAAGCAAAGTATTGTGAGAGAAACAGTTACTGTTATAACAGAATTCTTCAAAAACTGTAAGAGATTTTAGATCTATGTAAGTCTAAGTAAGGTCATTTACTCTATGCAATATAAAACATGAGTTCCTTTATATAAAATTATTGAAAATATGAGGCATAATCCATTTTATGATGATTTAAGTACACTTTTTTTCTATTTTTCATCTCTTAGTGTTGACAGGCTAGTGATACAGTAGTTAGACTACTAGACCACTCGGCCACCGAGGAATGAGGATAGGGATAGGGTATACAGTAGTTAGACTACTAGACCACTCGGCCACCGAAGAATGAGGATAGGGATAGGGTATACAGTAGTTAGACTACTAGACCACTCGGCCACCGAGGAATGGGGATAGGGATAGGGTATACAGTAGTTAGACTACTAGACCACTCGGCCACCGAGGAATGAGGATAGGGATAGGGTATACAGTAGTTAGACTACTAGACCACTCGGACACCGAGGAATGAGGATAGGGATAGGGTATACAGTAGTTAGACTACTAGACCACTCGGACACCGAGGAATGAGGATAGGGATAGGGTATACAGTAGTTAGACTACTAGACCACTCGGACACCGAGGAATGAGGATAGGGATAGGGTATACAGTAGTTAGACTACAAGACCACTCGGCCACCGAGGAATGAGGATAGGGATAGGGTATTATTAAGCAGTGCTTTATTTCATTACTTACATTTTAATATAAATTCTAGCAACAGATGAACCATCCTCCCTATTTTTCTACAACAGTTTATACGATTGAATTTTAGTACTCATGTTTAGAAGTCTATGTTTGGTTATTTCGTTTTACTTTTCCAACTCCGAAAAATTCAAATTCATTAATTTTAGATGCTATTTTTGTCATAAAATCCTCTTTGGGTCCATTTTGATAAAGAGGAATGGGGCACAAACAATACAATGACTTTCCATAAAACTATAAATAATAACCAGTGCTTACCAGAGTCACAGCATATACCATCAGTTACACAATTTCCCTGACCTCGACTCCCACATGGGTCACCTTGTACCTCACATGGATGGGTGCTTTCGTTTTCCTTTTGACATATCGAAGACTCCAATGTTCCCAAATAGCATCCAAATGGCCCGCAACAGATATCAGGTCCAACACATTGTCCACTTAAGTCTGGACCACAAGACATGCACTGTAACGTAAACAAACACTGTCACTAAAAATGTACATTTAGTATTGATTGATTGAAAATTTATCAACGTCGCGTCAGACCAAAACGAGCTATATCGCGACAGATATTTAAAAAAACCCAATCGAGTTAGCTTTTAAAAAATCAGAAAAATTCAAATCTTTTAAAACTAAGTTTTACATTTTAATATGATAACGACTTGGAAACATGTTCTTTTAGCAATAATTTGTCTTTGATTTAGTTGTCAATAAGTTTGGGTACTCTTAGATCGATACTTTGTGTCTTCTGTCACTTTGTTGTTTTGTGCTTAGTATGATCTGATGAGTCAATCAGATTTTTTAATATAAAAATAAGAAGTTGTGGTATAATTGCCAATGAGACTATGTTGATTAGAATGTTGTCCTGTTACACCACACTTCCCGGTTAAGGGTAAAATAATTATGTTTCTCACCGCCACTTTCTTTACTTGCCTGTCCTAGCTTAAATCAGACCGTTAGTTTTCTATTATAAATTGTTTCACATTTTGTTATTCCGGGTCCTTCTATAGCTTACTATACGGTTTGGTTTTAGCTCATTGTTGAAGGACTACGGTAACATGTAGTTGTTTACATCCTCGTCTTATAGTGGATAATTGTCTCGTTGGCAATCATACAACATTTGAATAATGTTCTGATTTAACCTTTGCATTCTCAACCTCAATGTATGGTTGTGTTTTGTAATTGGACCAGGAAGTATCTTCCGCTTCCAAGACAACTTATTTTCTTGATGACAAAACATGTTTATTCAATTCGAACAATATATATATATATAACCATATTCATCTATTCAAGATGAAACTGAATGTCCAACAAAATATTTTGTAATACATCTTGATAGCTCTAAAAGAAAATGTCAATTTTCAAAATCAAGTTAACTTAAATCGCATTATTCGCTTCAGAAATCTTTCAGCCGCGTCGGAACCATAACGAAATTCTCATAGCGTGGGAGTTCATTCCTATGCTTATTTAAATCAAATATTATGAATACACCAATATTTTTATACGAGACATGAATGATCAATTATGCATAACATAATCAATTAAATTTTCCTTAAAGATCTTATGTACGTGTAGTGTGATATGCCACAAAGGTCTGACGTCAAAAATCGTTTTATATGCATATATATTATTAATATTGTTTGTAGCATGCCACATGTGTATGCTGTACACCGATTAGTCGTTCGTTAGTTTCAAAGTTAATAAAGAGTGTATAATGTCGGAGGATAGTTGAAACGCCCACAACACTGCTGGTAGGTTAGCAGCAACACAATACTTTGCCTTACAATGTCCTCGTTAGAAAAACGCGGAAATATTTGTAACTTCCTTAAAAAAAATGTATAACAAAAATACCGAACTTCAAGGCAAATTCAAAAAGGGGAAGTCCATAAAAACATGACAAAATCAAATGGTATCAATCAACGGAACAAGTGAAAAACAACTGCCATATTCCTGACTTGGTACAGGCATTTTCCGAAGAAAATGAGGTTAAAACTGGTTTCATAGCTGGTTTAACCTCTAAAATATATTCAATATAAAAAGAGAGATGTAGTATGATAACTAATGAGACAACTATCTAGAAAGACAAAAAGGACAAAGATGTTGACAATTACAGTTCACCATATGGCCTTCACCAATAAGCAAAACCCATACTGTATAATAGAAGCTACACAATTGTACATTTTACTGTTGTTTTTGAAATTTCATCTGGTTAATAGCAATTTTTTGAATAATGGCTTTGATATGTACGAATCATATCATTTAGTTGTTAAAAAGACTGTTGAGGATGATAAATATAGAATACATATATATCATTCATAAGAATCAAGTAAGATATTTGAATGTCGGACCTTCACACGTAAAATATGCATAATTTATAAATATGCGTACAGAAATATATAATAATATAAAAAAAAAGAATCTGAATAAACTGATTGCTAAGACATAATTTATCCTATAAAACGAACATTATTAATGGCCATGTGTAGATTTTTTAATGCAGTAATACATTGATACATTGATACATAGAAATAAAACGCAAACTATAAATAATGCAGTTCTTTATGGGTACCGTAGATTCCGTTTATCTGTCCAACACACCGAACAACGAGGCGTACTTTTATATCTACTGAGAACTCAAGCGTGATCTATAACCCTAGAAATATGAATTATATCTTTATTTCTGGAATAAAATACAGCATTTAATTCTTGAAATATAATTGGAATGAAAATTAATCTCACTAATTGATTTCTACAGTACAAAAAGTAAATGTGATAGAAATATTTATAAATTTACTTAATAAAATGATTTCAGTCAGATCAAAGTAACAATTATGTACAAACTGCTTTCAATTCATAGCAATGGCCCATTTATGACAAGTGTTAAGTGCGATGCGATGATCATGATTTAAATGTCACTATATGTTACCATAAAAATCTACTAGCTGACGATTTGCTGCTTTATCACTTATTCATCGCCACCCTTCAGCAACGTTATATCGTAAATTATAGAAATTTAACATACAAATTTTACAACTTTTTGAATTATCTGATCTTAGTTGATATGTACCTTAGATAAAAATCACAACATGCAAGTCTAAATTCATGGCTGAACACAAATTTAATTAGATTTATTCTCTTTGCTTGGCCAAATCGCAGAATTGTATTGATTTAATCGTTATCTTCTGTGTCACAACAGTGTTAATCATTATCTCGTTAATATTATTTTCTATTTTTTTAAGTATATTTCTTTGATTTACTTTTGAAAACAAAAAAGATGTCAAGACAATTTTTAAATTGAAATAGATAAAACGTGCAAAGAAATGAATTGTTATAAGGCTGATGGTACTGCTATGACTTGATCGCTCAGAAGAGTTTAACTAAAAGACCATGTACGCGCATTTTTTTTTTAATTACGCAATTACATATTTTAAAAAAAAAAACTCGTTGATGATATTTTTCAGGGTTTTGTATTTCTTGAAATTTCAAATACTTTATTTAAAGTGGGTCTTTAAACCTATTATTCAGGTCCTACCATTTTTCCTTCCTTTACGAATAGTGTTCTTGATAATCAAAACAACAAAAACTGGAAGAAAATAAGCAAATTGCTAGGGACATACTGCAGGTTATTTAAGACATTTCTGTGGTCATGGTCTAAAGCAAATGTTGTTTTGTGCAAATGGAACAAGACCTGAGAGTATTTTTATCATTACAAAATCAGATTTTATTTATACAAGCAATCATAGACAAATAAACATTCATATTTGCTAAAATTGGCAACCTTAAGGATGTACTTAGGTGAGGTTTATGAATTTTTGTCAGATGTTCGGACTTCTTGGGTTTTTCCCTACGATACAGGGTAAAATATTTTGCTCTATATCACCCACTGTTCTTTTCATAGAAGACTTCAATAGCTCATAAAAAGGTCATCACCAAAATTTAAGCAGATTCTAGATTGTTTTTCTTACGGTTAGAGACCATACTAATGCCAATGCTATATATAGTGTAAAAGTCCGAGTCAGCCTTTTCCCGCCATTTCTAAAAAATCAAATATCTCAAAAAGGAGTTCCATAACCTATCAATATTTTTAGCTTATTTTGTTCCTTAACTAATGTTCTTCTGACTTATAGTATCAATTCTAAATTCTAGATTTTTTTAATTTCACCTAAGTACATCCTTAACTGACTTTGAAAATTATCTTTAGTTAAAAAACATGTTAAAAAAAAATATGACTTTTATTAAAGTAGATACGATTTATCGTCAATATTTGAGATATCTTTTTAAAGAACAAGATATACACCGACGTAAACTGAATACATGCTGGGTTTTTTATCGACAACATATTAGTTCAGATTGCCGAATCGATCTGTTTTTGGAGAGGAAAAACATCTAGCTAAATATATTTTAAATTCATTTTCAAATTTATTGATGGTTTCCTTCTACAATTATGTTATTTTTAGATAGAATTCTGTCACCCCATATATACAAGTGAACTGCAAATTAAGAATACTACAAAGACATGCATAGTGTATGCAACAAAACAACGGATTGAAAAAAGTACAAAATGCATTCTATTGTGTCTAAAGTAAATGTGCAAAAATCAGTGTGGTTTTGAGACAAAACGAAAAACTCGAGGACAAACATTTGTTTTTAAATCTTAAACGTTTCTTTTATTTATGTACCCTCAATAATTTATGATCTCAATCATACCTTATATAGTATGTTCCATAAACGCGTTTCGTGTACACAGATGTTTGTATTTTACATTTTTAACACTGGTCTCCAAAATGGCAAATAACCACTATTAGGCAGGCTTTGTTAAAAAAAACTTCTTACAGACCTATGAAACTTTAGTAAAAATAGAAAAACTACGTGGAACAATTGCTAGATGCTGATAGAAACTAATTTGTACTATTTTCCTATTTTATTTATGAAGCCAATACGGAGTGGGATGCTTTATACATACGGGTATTTTAGACTTTCATGTCGTATGGTTTCGGAGACATGTTCACCTACAACCTTACCCTCTGTAGAAGTAGACGGATGAAATAATACAATACCTTACTGCTACCTGATCTGCAACTTGTCAAAGAAGAACAAAGTTTGATATTATTAATACTGCGCATTCTTCGATACGTATACGGTATTGTATAGTTTACTGTTGGTCCTTATCATTAGAGTTCTTTGTTAAATTTATTTACATGTAGCGTCACAATAGATTTTTTTCGAGTGATCTTTCTGTATATTGTATAACTAGAAATAACACAATGACTTCCGAGACAATTCTAACTTAAGTTAGTCTGAAATTTACATGTACGGATTCTTCTTTAAAAAGTTATGAATTTTAATTTAACCACAAGTCAACCAACATAGCTATTGCTACTATTAGTAGAAGATTCTAAGGAAATGAATGTTCCAAAAACGTTGTTTAAATCTTTATAAGTACCGGCAAGGGTTAAAAGGGGTTAC